AACCTGCCAGGGGTGAGACCCCTTTGCCTACAAACACCTCCCTCCCAAGGCAACAACAGCCCTGATGCCATGGGGTGACTGGAACAGCAGATCCTGGGAAAAGCAAGCTCCAAACCACCAGGACTGGCAGATGAATCAGGAGTTTTAAGGGAGTTTTCCAGGGATGCAGGAGGGAGCCCAAGGAGAAGGGAGGCATCACAGGCAAGGCTCAGGCTCTGCTCTGCTCTGCACATCCCTCAGGATCAGAGGGGCTGAGGGAACCAAAGGTGTTCAAAATCTGGGGGATTTGGTCAGATCAGGCCCTGCCAGAGCTGCTCATTCCTGGCTCACAAGGCTGGGAACAAAGGCAGAGGTAGCTCCAGCCTCCCCACGCAGGGAACAACCTGCCAGGGCTGGAAGGGGTCACACCCTGCCCCAAAACCTCCCCCTCCCCCAAAATTGGGGACAACAACAAAGCCCACAGGCCCCAGGGGTCGGCAGGAGCACTGGGAAGGGTCTTTGGGAGCTGGGCTCACCCCCAGCACAGGGTTTTATCTGTCCTTACACCAGGATTCCAAGGCAGTCCCACTCTAACCCCCTCCTGCTGGCTTGTCTCCCAGGGCACTGGAGGGACAGGAGAAAAGGGAAAGGGAGGGAGAGGAGAAAAGGGAAAGCTCTTCACACTGAGATGGGCTCCAAACTGCTCCAGGCAGCTCGGGAAGCTGGGAGCCAGCTTGGGAAGGAGCAAGGAACAGCGAGGCATTGAGGGCTGGATTCTGCCCCCTCTTATTCTCCTACCAGAAAAAGAAAAAAAGGAATGAGCCTCTGGGAGCTCAGCCAGCAGCCAGAGGGACACACAGCCCGAGCTCCACATGGCCACTGCCAGCTGGAAGAGCCCCCTCCTCCAAAATCCCTCCTCCAAAACCCCTCCTTCCAAAACCCCTCACCCCTCCCTCCCAGCAGCAGGTCACCTTCCAGCAGGAAAACAGCCCTAAAGGAGCTCACTGGGAAGATCCCAAACATGCTCCCACTATGGATCAGGCATCACCCCGAGGCTTGTTTTATATCAAGGGTCTCCTGGATCCAGCCCTGGATCCAGGGAAGTGCAGGATCCAGCAGCAAAGGGCACCTCAGCAGGTGCCCAGCACTGTTTGAGGGGGGATATTTTCTTTTTTCCAGTGGTATTTTTCTAAATCAAGTCCTCCCTAAGCTGTTTTTGCCTGGCTCCTAAGCCCCCCAAAGCCTCGGGGGGAAAAGAGATCCCAGGATCAGGAAGGTGAAGTATCTTGAATTTAAGGATTTTTGGAGTGGAGGGTCACTGCAAAAGCAGCTTCACAACCCTCTCCTCCCCAGAGCACTGTTCTAAATCAGCTTCCAGTGACTGCTGGTGTCTGCAGAGGGCAACACTGACCAGCTCCAGGCTGTGCTTCCAGCCTGCAGGAATGCTGGGCAGGGAACAGAAGCTCTTTGGGCTGGATCCTCTCGGTGCTGCAGTGCCTGGAAAGGACCCTGTCCCCAGCAGGAATGGTGGCAGAGTGGGCAGGGAGCAGATTTACCACCATTTTACTGCAAATTCACCTCAACAACCCTCACCCTGCTCTCCATCATTCCCATTCCTGCTCTTTGCTTGAGGTAAATCCCCTTTTTCCAAGTCCTGTCCCCCACTGTTGCTCCCTCCATTCCCCCACTTGGCTCTTCCCTTCCTCTCCCACTGGATTTTTTTTGGCTGACAGGACAGAGAGCAGCAAAACCCAGGGAAACAACAAATCCAGGTCCAGTTGCCTGCCCAGGTTTCCCAGGATGGGGATGGGAGCCCTCCAGGAGTCTGATGGATGGGGAACCAAGCTCTGCAACCAAACGTGCTCCAACAGAGCCACAACATTCCCTCCTGGATTGCAAGCCCCTGCCTGTGGATGGGCCCTCCAGGGACTCCAAATCCACGGGATCATCACCTGAGGCTCCCTCTGAGCTCACACCTGGAATCCCTCCCACATCCCTCCCACATCCCTGCCCTCCACGGCCCCGGGTGGGTCCCAGCCAGGGGAAAACTGGGAAGCCACAAAGCAGGGGGTGGGTTGAGACTGGGGGAGAGGGAGGGAAGGAAGGGGGGTTTTAGCAGCCAAATAATTGCTTGTTGAGGGAGCAGCTTCCAGGCTCGGGCATCTGCCAGCAGGAGGTGGGATCACGATCCCAAACTCCTGGGGAGGAAGGTTTGGGAAGTTCTCCTCACCCTCAGGAGTAGAGGAGAGCAAGGATGGGGAGCAGGACACTGAGCACAGCCCGAGGTCACACCAAACCCCCTCTGTGGGGCAGAGGAGCAGCTGATCCCGGAGCAAAGCCCCTCCCTGGGCTTACCTGGGACCCTGGAGCAGCTTCCAGGCTCGGGCATTTGCCAGCAGGAGGTGGGATCACAATCCCAAACTCCTGGGGAGGAAAGTTTGGGAAGTCTCCTCACCCTCAGGAGTAGGGATCTCTCCTCAGGGTGTGCAAGGACGGGGAGCAGGACACTGAGCACAGCCCGAGGTCACACCAAACCCCCTCTGTGGGGCAGAGGAGCAGCTGATCCCAGAGCAAAGCCCCTCCCTGGGCTCACCTGGGACCCTGGAGCGCAGGAAGTAGAGGAACTTCCCGTTTTTGGAGTGCATGATGGCCCTCTTGATGAACTCCACCACCGACTGGCACCGGTCCTCAAACTTGGGGTGGCACCACAGGCTGAAGGTCCCTGTGAGAGAGCAGAGGAGGTGGCACGTCACGGGAGCACCAGGGGCAAGAGGGGACATTTGGGGACATTTAGGGATGGGTCTGGTGCTCCCAAAGTCCAGGTGAATGTCCCAGGACGACTTCTCAGAGCTGGGATGGAGCACTAAGAGGGAACACCAGTGTGTTGTTCCACTGGGACCAGTGCCCTCCAGGAGCTGGGGGATGCACAGAGAGGTGGGACAGGGTGACCACTGGCACCCAGAGGTGGCCACAAGCCACCCCTGCCTGAAATTGTGAACAGCTGCCACTGCTGGGTCTGGAACTTCAACCAAAATACACTTTAATTTGCAGAAGTCCCTGCTCCTCTGCAGGATCATGGGATCATAGAATGGTTTGGGTGGGAAGGGACCTTAAAGCTCATCCAGTCCCAACCCCTGCCATGGGCAGGGACACCTTCCACTAGCCCAGGTTGCTCCAACCTGGCCTTGGACACTCCCAGGGATGGGGCAGCAGCATCCCACCCCCAGCATTCCCAAAGGAAGCTCTTGGAGGTTTTTAAACCAGGAGCTGCTGTCCCCTTTTCCCAGCCCTGTGGCTGCCAGGGATCACGTTCCACAGCTCCCTGTCCCTGCCAGCTGCTCCCAGCACCTTAATTAAAGGGACTGTTAAGTAGGAGCAGGGTCACAGCCCAGGCCACGGGTGTCCCTGTGCTGTCCCTGCCCCTGTCACCCGACACGACGCCCGCCCCAGGGTGAAACTGGAGATGGGGACACGGGGCCAGGCAGGTCCCAGGCAGGTCCCAGAGCTCCAAAGGGGGTTAAACCTCCAGTCAGACCAGCCCAACCACCTCTGGGCTGCACAGACACCACCTCCCTGCACCAAAACCCCAGAGTTGGGGAACAACTCAGGTTAAAAAAGGTCTCTGAGATCGAGTCCAAACATTGTCCCACGTCAGCACTAAAACCCTGTCCCCAAGTGCCACATCCACTGGGTGTTTTCCACATCCACGTGGTTTCTGAGCACTCCCAGGGCTGGTGACTCCACCACTGCCCTGGGCAGCCTGGGCCAGGGCCTGACCATGCTTTCCATCCATAAGTTTTTCCTGATTTAGGAAAAGGAGTCCCCTCAGGCCCCAGCCCCGAACTGAGACATCAGAGAGCAGCAGGAGAAGTTTCCTCCCAAGCTCAGTTATGGAAAAGCCTCAAAATCCTCCAGCTGTGAGAGCCTCTCCCACTTTCCATAAGGATAAGGTGAAAATCCTTCCTTCTTGGCAGCAGCCAGACACAGGGAGCTGGCTCTGGACAGGCTGGAATTAATGCTGGGACATCTTCCCATCAAGAGGGGCTCAGCACCCACAGTGCTGATGTGGTACATCACATCCCAGTGCCACAGGATCCCAAAAACCCTGCTGCCAAGCATTCCTTTGGCTCCAGTTTTCCAGAGCGTGGCCTGAGGAACTCTTGATTCCCAATTTTTCAGACAGGGAGTTGSYYC